AATAGATTTTTATATTTAAAAAAAATTTATATCATATCAAAAAAAAAATTCACAATGGGACGTCTCAATGCTCACCTAGGCGCGCATAGGCTCTCCTGATGCGCTGATTGTCGCGCATTGAAACGCATAGGCGCTCCTAAGCATTTCAACAAAAATCGTTGACCGTATTTTTATGCGCATTGCCCAATTTGACGCATTTTTTATGCGCGTCGCGCCTAGGCGGTGCATTTGCGCGAATTTTAGAACATTGGTATTTATAGAATTCCAAAAATCAAGTCAAAATCGTGAAAGAATTTAAATCCAACTAAAATTCTGATTAGACACCATCCTTTGAGCAGCGTGCGTACAGTATCCAGCTTCGGCGCTCGGATTGGAAAAACAATGGTATCCTACGTGCCGGGTTGCACGGTGTCATCCCCAAGTAATTTTTGATATTTTGGTTATAAATTTCTCTCCCTCTATTCGATTGAGGTGATTCAAAGTACGTTAGAAATATAACTCAAAGAACTATACTTCTTATAGATGTACAAATTTTCAAATTCGAATGTTTGCTATCCAAAAAATTGGTCTCAAGTTGAGGCTAAAAATTTGAAACATAATTTTTTCAGTTGGAAATTGATTTGCAAAAATATTTCAGCTATATTTTACTTATTTGACCTCCAATTGCATCCAATTGATCATATGCGAACTTCAATCATCATTTTATGGTTCGAATCAACAATTACATGTTTGCAATTTGGTCTCAAACTTTGATTTTCTTTCTTTTTTTTCCCTTCTTCATTCACTTCTTCCAATTCCACCCACTTGCATTGAGTTCAATCTAACAAACATAATTAATGCATAATTAAGTTATAACTCATCCAAATCACTAATAAATACTCTAATTTGATGGTTTAGATAAGTATACAAAATACACTTATCACATTTCTCCTCTTATTACATCTTGGACACATAGTCTCAACTAGAATATGTTGCATGTATAGTATGCCCTTGTTTACTGTTGATTAAAATCCAAATTAAAATTTAAGGTAAAATTAACAATTAATTTTGACAACATATTTTATGGAGTTCACAACTTTTTAATCATATATTTCATCAATTTTTATCAAAATCTACTAAAAAAACCATTTTTAGCTACCCTAAGCAAGTGCTATTTCATATCAAGGAATACTCGACACATTAAATTTTTTACCTTACTGGAATATTTGGGGGTGCATATGGTATTTGGAATAGGATAAAAATTATCTCAATATGATGTTTGGTGTTGACACTGCCAAGATCATTTCTATCTGCTGGCAGACCATATTATTTGTTGGGAGTTGCTAGGCGTACAGAAATTTTCTGCTAGAAAGTTGCCAGATGAGTTGGCAGCAACTATTCCTACCTTAGAATATCTATATTGCCCTTAATGAAATATTTTGCAGGTTAAGTCCTTGTATCTTTTAATTCTTTGATTTGTGACCACAATAATTATTTTATTCAATGTTCTTTTAATTTTTCTATCTGTT